AAAGTGTTGTTGTAGTTTTTAATGGTGTTGTTGTAGTTTTTAATGAAGTGTTGTTGTAGTTTTTGTAGTTTCTGTTATTAATCACATTTATCTGCCTGTTGCGTTTCTGTAGTAACAGTAAAATGTTAACAAACAAACTTAAATATTGTAATTTCAAACATTAAAAGTTATAAATTAAACCAAACTCACCTTTAAAAACACTTTAAACTTCGTCCTCCTTTAACCTTTAAACTTTAAAGATTTCTTCTCCCTTTAATTCATTTTCCTCTCCGGAGTCTTTTTATGTCTTTTTATGTTGTTTTTAAAAAAAATAAACTTTATGTTCAACTTCACCTCCGTCCGATCTAACCTCGTTAAACCTCGTTAAACCTCGTTAAACTTGTTAAACTTTAAAATAAAACAAACTTTCTTCTCTTCGTTGTTTTCAGCTCTGCACATGGAGCTTTGTTTGGCGCGCTTTGATGACGTCACTTACGCGCCGCGCCGTTATTTTTATTTTATTTAATTTATTAATTAATTTATATTTATTTTAATCTGTCCAGTGAGTGTGTTTAATATATAGATAATAAATATTGCAATAATTTATTATTTATTTTTTAAATAAAACGTTTTTATACAAATAAACAAAACGATGAAATAACAAAAGAATATAATATTTAAAACTCAAATATCAGTAAGAATATAGTTTTAGTCCATTAATGACAGTAATTATTGCTGTTTTCACTGATAAAAACTGTATTTTGACAGTTTAACAATGTTTATATACTAATAAAAAACATTTATTCAATGTTTTCTGTCAAAAAAATTTACAATTACAGAACAAATAGTTGTTTTTACTGTTTTAACTAATTTTACATGTTATAATATATTAAGTGTTACACTTGAACTGAAAAGTTTAATCTATTAAATAAACTGTAAAAATCTGAAAAAATTTAAATTTCTTTAAATAATAAATATTTTATGATCATTTAGATATTTTATTTTACATTATACATGTAAATTCACGAATTATTTTTGTTTTGTTAGCTAATTTCTAATTGTATTAATATTTTAATTGTATTAATATTTTAATTTTATTAATATTTTAATTTTATTTGATAAAATACAGAAAACAATTGTAAAATAAACGTGAAAAGCCCCGTAAATGTACAGATTGTTTTATAGTGTATAGTTGGATTACACTTGATATTATCATATATTCAATATGAAAGAACTCGGATCAGGTTCTAAATATAAATTCCACCCAGAGTGCAGTGTGTTGGAGGAATAATACTTTATTAATTAGTAGACAGATTATATATATATATATATCAAATATTAACTTCATACATACATAAATAGATACATAAACATACAAACATCTTCATATAAACAAACTTGGCACTGCAGACTTTTCCCAGTGAGTCAGACACTGTCGCTTTACAATCGGAGACACTTTAAATATAATATATACATAAAATATCTCCTCGTCCAAACTATCCACTCTTCTTTTCTTTCTCTCCATGATTCTCAGTGATTTTAGAAAAACTAATTAAAAATACAATAATAATCATAATATGATTACTAATTCAAATCAGGCCAAATGTACAAAGATTCCTCAGCTTGGTTAGTTAAAGTTAAAATAAAGTCGTTAAATCAGGAGCTGGGATTCAGTCGTTTACCATAAACACGACAGAAATGACGTTTTTTATAACAAACAATCTTGTTACATTAATTTGTAGATGCAGATATTTATTTATTTCCTTCATTTTCCCTTAAAAAACGGACGAATGTGGCGTCTCGCAGACGGGCGGAGCTGGAGGGGCTGCATGGAGGAATATAAATATACTTAATTAATCGCAAACAATCAGATATATTAATTAATATCTGCTTGGAAAATCACCCAAATTAAGATATTTTAACTAAAAAAAAACATTATTGTGGCACGTTAGTAAAGGCTTGAGTAGAAATATCTTAAGGTGGAATTAATTAGAAATCAATAAATAGGTTTTATTTTTATTAATGCCAAAATTTAACATTAATTTAGAAAATAACATGTTATAAATCGGCTTAAATTCAGTTAAAAAAAGACACAATTTTTGAAAAAATGTCTCAAGAATCTGTAAATAAAACAATTTATTGATTTTTAATCCAACCTTTAGATATTTCAACCCTTAAAGTCTGAAAACTAAAGAGTGTGTTTACTCCTGTGAGGTTCGGTGGCCACATTGGTGTTTATTCTTCATATTGGAATGCAGCCTTTTACAGTCTAAAGTGGACGTGACGTAGTGCTCTCAAATGGAATGCGTCCTTTTACCACCAATAAAGGTTAAAGGTTAACAAAATTAACTCTTTATATTGGAATTAAGCCTTTTCAACCTCAACAGTGTCTGTGCTTCATGTTGGAATGTGTCCCCAGATTTCTCCTGTTATCTCCAGTTCGGCCGGGAGGGCTTGCCCGAGTCCCTCGAGTGAGACGACTTGTCGGAGAAGGAGCCGCTGTCGTTCCGCCGGTGGCCTTTAGGGGGAGCCAGTGAGTCGTGAGGAGGCGCCCTGATGCTTTGAGACTTCGTCAGCGCGGAGGAGGAAGAGGAGGAGAAGGAAGGGTTGACGAGATCCGAGGATCTGGAGGTGACGGGGGATCTCAACGAGCCTGTTCGCTTCAGAGGGGAGGAGGAGCTGGGTGGAGGGACGGGGGAGGAAGAGGAGGTGGTGGTTTTGGGGGAGGAGTTTGAGGCAGTGTGGGGTGAATGAGGACGAGGAGCGAGGGTGACGTGGGTTCGTCTGAACGAAGAGGAGGCGGTGCTCCGGGCGAAGCGTGGAAGCAGCGATGAAGAAGGAGTAGCGGCTTTGTGCAGAGGAGTAACAGGAGCACTGACGCTGCCTCCTCCTCCTCCTCCTCCTTGAGTGAGCGCCCTCAGCGTGGAGCGACACATCTTCTCCTCCGGTTGGACTTTGGGTTTCGTTAAAGGCTTCCGGATGGACGGCTTCCTGTGCAAGTCCTGGTTCTGCTCTCGTGCCGAAGGACCCGAAACCTTCTGGTCTTTCGGGTCCTTGGTGATGCTCGAGCGTCGGGACGAAGGAGCGGTCGACGGTCGCTCTCCTCGTCGGAGGGAGGGGCTGCTGTGGCTGGAGACCGTCAGACCGACCGGTACCGGCGTGCTGGAAGAGCCTCGCCGATTTCCCCCAGAAGCCTTTTCAGAATGTTTGCCCAGAGACGGAGCTCCTCGGCTGGTTCTGGAGATCGGCACTACCCGCCTCATGCCCTGGTCCTCGGAGCAGTTGAGGGTGCGGACGGGTTTTCCTTTGTTGGAGGAGGCGGGTTTCATTCCAGCGGGTCGGGGTTTAGAGGTAAGGAGGTTCTTGGTGGAGGGTTTGGTCGAAGCTACCGGTTCTGCTTTATCGTTAGTGGAAGCTTCTGTCTTCGGTTCTCTCTCCTCATTGGTCGAACCCTCCGCTTCCTCCTCCTGATTGGCTGTTTCTTCCTCAGAGGCACCTGCGGTGAGAATAGGCCCTTCGTTGGCTGACGTAGGCTCCGCTGGGCGCCACCTCGGGGACGAGGCGGGATGCGACGGGTCGTCACAGCGGGAGACAGGCACCGGCTGGCTGCTGATGGGTACAGGCACTGGCTTCTCATTGGCCGGCTGAGGTTCTGAAGGCGTGCGATTGGTTGGTGAGGAGGAAGCTTGCCTGCTTCCTCCCTGATTGTCAGTTCTACTCTGATCCTTCTCAGTTTGTGCGTGTGTCTCGTCAGAGTGTGCGAGCTCGCCGGCTGCCTCGCACACGCCCGTCACGCACCATACGACCACCTTTTGCTCTCGTCCCTCCTCTTCCTCTTCCTGCGATGAAGAAGTGTTTGTCTCAGGGATTTGTGCATTAGATTTTTCCACGTTCTGGACTTCATCAACTCCGTCTTCTTCCAAATCTATGATTGATATATCGTCTCCAGGGTGGCCCCTGGTGCGATGGCGTTCCTCGCCGTGGCCGCTCACCTTGTCGAACACCTTCAGTTCCGGCACCAGCGTACATTTCTCTAAAACCACCGACATGTTTCCTGCCGTAGCGGCGCCGCGTTCAAACGTGTCGTCACTGCGGTCGATCGATCCTCTAGAATCCTGATCGGCTTTGTTGGTTCTAGTTTGTTCCCCGCTCAAACCAGAGTGGCGTTCTGAAAGTGTTCCCTGGCTGGTAAAACCCAGTCCGAGTCGATCTTTGCCGTTGTTGTTGAGGTCGGATTGCTGGTTCGCGTCAGAGGTAGGTGCGACTGTAACTTTATTTATCGGGTCGATGGCGGTTAATCGAGTCTGGGTTGCATCGAAGCTGAGGTAAGTGGCGGTTGTATGGTTCGCGGAGGACGACCGGGTTTGCGGCACTGTCTGTCCCGCTTGAGGCTGCTGGTTTTGGGGGAAGCTGCACGTTGTGGCCCTTGGACTTTGCGGGGACAGTCCCGGACTTCTACGCCCGTGTTCGTGTGCCGACAGTGGGGCGTCTTTGTGGTCGTGGGTCGCCATCCCCAGGAGTGTGCTCAGCTCGCGTTCAGCAGCAATGGACGGCGAGCTGGATGGAGAGTTACGGGAGCGCCGTAAGCTCTCCGATCGTCCCAGAGGATTGTTGTTTAGCGGCGATCGTGGGCGGGTCTTCGGGGTCAGAAGCTCCATCAGCAGCCCAGCCTCATCGTGTCGTGATATTGCAGCAGACATATCCGCCTCACTGCTGCAGCGCAACCTGAAAGCTCCGCCCACCTAGAACAGAGTCACACAGTTTAAGTCTTTACTGGTCGAGGAGTTTGTGTGTGTTTGTGGTTGAAGGTGAATCCTCCTACCAGCTCTCCTCCGGCCCACGAGTGCCTCTTCTGCTCCTCCAGCTCCTGCAACCGCCGGAGACGGGCGGCGTCCTTCACCTCTCGCTCTACGTTGTCCTTCAGACAGGAAACACAGACATTGTTAACTGTTATTTCTGTGTTTGAACAGCAGGTGGCAGCAAAGGTCAGAGTGTGTTCTGTAAAGGGACACAGCTGAAGGATGGAAGTACATTTATAATATCAGTTTAATATATCCTTTCTATCTCTACTCAACTACATTTTGAGTTGTTGTCACTACTTTTACTTTACATGCAAAACATATTAAGAAACTTTAAATATCATCAAACATTCCATGGGTTCAGTGTCTCAAATTTGTCGCTTTTCCTCGTTTTAAATTACAGTAAACTGAATAATTTTGAAGTTTAGACTGTTATAAGAATAATTGTGGCTGTACTGTACTTTTATTTTACATTTTACAAATAAAACAGATTAAAAACAATCACTAGTTGCAGCCCAAATTTAAAAAAATGACCTCCTGCTTAAACATTAATGCATAATATAATATATATAATATAGAATGGTATGTATATATATATATATATATATATACATATCATTAGAAATAAGATATAAACTCTGTGTGGACAAAAGCAGTACTGTTACTGCCTCGTTTCATTGATTTCAAGGGGAACATTAAGAATAACTGTACAGAAACAGCCGATATTGTCTCTGATGGTCCAGTTTAGCTCATATAGAGACATTAGTATTAATTTTAAATGGTTAAAAAACTCCTTGTCATCGGATTTGAATACTTCCTCTGCCAGTTTCTACTGTTTGCTGCTGTTTATTGTTGATAACTGTGAATCTGTGTGTGCGTACCTTCACGGCAGCGGTGAACCTGGAGCAGAAGGTGTGGAAGATGCTGAAACAGTCGTCCAGTCTGAACGTTTCTCGGTCTTCGCAGAAGAAGTCGATCAGCTCGCTGCCTTCCTGCTTCAGCTGCTGCCGACTGCCTTGCAGCGAGCACAGGGACGAGGTGGCCGACTGAGACACAAACAAACACAGAAAACATGCATGTTAGCAACAAAAACACAAAGAAACAATGTTGGATGCAGTCAAACTAGCTGTTTCCCCTCATTTTATGGTTTATTTAAACTGACTATAGCTTCATTTATCTATTACTTGTGTTTTTAGAGTTATTAGTAAAGTATCTGAATACTTCGTCTACCACAGGTTTGTGTTTTACCTGCAGGAAGTCGTCCAGTTGCTGCAGCAGCTCCGTGTCTCTCTGGGCGCTCACCTCTACTGAGCGCGTGCGAGTCGTCAGGCACTGCAGTTCAGTGTCCAGCGTTGCCACGGAGATCCTAAAATATAAATATATAAATGTAATCTCAGGTTTTGTCTGTCCTCGTACACAAGGCTGATGGGAAATGTAGTTTGTGGATGTTTATGTGGAGAATTAAAGTGTTTAATATGTGAATAAGATGTCTGACCGGGCTGCAGGATGGACGTGACGCAACTTCAGAGGAAACTCCAACAGATTGACGTCTTTTTTCTGGGCTTCCTGCAGGAAAAAGAAGATTAATATTTATCACCATGTTTTGTTTAAGATGAGCAGTTTGAGGTGTACATAACATTACATACTCTAACCCTTAACCCAGGTTTTAACCCCTAAACAGCTCTCAAACTGTCCTCTCTCTTCAGATCTAAACTCTAATTTGTCCTCACAAAGATAGCAAACACACTAGGAATGTAAAGATATACTGTCAGACAGTTAAATCAGGATGCAAATATGTGAAGATTTAAATCAGATTGGATGAAAAATTAATTGTGATACTGTTTTTAGAACAGCAGAGGGCGCCATCTACTTTTCATTTTTGCTTGTTGGACATCAATGGTTCCCAACCTGGGGGTCGGGACCCGCACTAGGGGTCACCAAAGCTTCATTGGGGGGGTCGCAAGGTCTTCTTGAGTTTAAGGGATTAAAATTGTTTAAGAGAACAATGACCAAGCATCAGAGAGAAGAAAATAAGCTTATTAAGTCTTTATGATTGTTAAAAAATATTTAAAAAATACATAATACAGACAGAGAATTGTATAAAAAGTTCCCTAAAACAGAAAATAATCTCCTTAAAATTCATCCAAACTTTACCAAAATACACAAACGTCCTGCAGTTACTGAGTTCACTGTTTGGGTTCATTGTACAGTTTTTCATATAATATGAAATATCCATAGAATATGTAACTGAGTCAGTTTAATGAATGATAGAAAAAGGGTTCCTTAAGGGGAAAGGTTGGGAACTATTTTGATGTTTATACGTCAGAAATAAAATAATTTAAATATATTTTGTAGGTTTTTGTTTGGGAAGTAAATCTTTATTTAGTTATAATACCACACACACACACACACACACACACACACACACACTGACCAGAGCCACGAAGTGCAGCAGGTTCATTCCCGGTTTGT